TAGTATACACGTTTATATTACATCTTTATCTACTGCTATCTAATATATCAATATTGTATGCACACACACACACACACACCACTACACACGACATACACAACCACACACACCACACACAACCCACCCCCGTCAGCCCCAACAACCCACCCCACCCCCAACACCCACAACCCAACTCCCCACAGATCTCCACCCCTCGCACGCTCGCCACAACCACACCCCGGACCACCCACAACCCACCGCGCGCAACACCCTCACCCACCCTTGCACCCCCACACGTCAAACGGCAGACAGCCGGTCGACTCCCCCACACCTCCAGCAACCCACCCCCACCCCCACCAACCGCACCCCCAACCCCACGAACCCAGCAACGCGCACTCCCCACATAGCGCATTATTTATTTATTTTATATTGTAGACCTCCACAACCCTACTTCCCGCACAGTGCCCACCCACCCCCCGCACACCCCGCCGCAGAGGCCTTACCACCCCGCACGCGTCACCCACAACGGCCATCCCGCCACCCCACAACTCCACCCGCACCCCCTACAACCACAACCCGCGCTACCCCACAAACGCACCCCCGCTACGGACCCCACAACGCCGAACCCCGCACCCTCCACAACTCCACGCGCCACATCCCTCACAACACCAGCCTCGCACACTCCACCACACCCCACCGGTCACCTACCGGTATGGAGACGACCAAGCCGCAAAGACCTACAATTACTTGCTACGACCATCACCAGAGTCAACTGAAACCTCCACTTCCTTTCAACCTGTTATCCTCCGTCTCCTGTCGGTTTCCGGTCAAGGGTTTCCACTTTCATCTTTAATCTCAATTTTGGGTTATTTGTTAATTGATTTTCATTATGTCTGATTTAAAAAAAAAAGGGAATTTAGAATTTGGAGATTTGAAAGTTACAATTCTTCAATTTTGTGTCTAATTGAATTCGGCCGATCTCTGTTCGGCGAGTGGAGTGAATAATTCTGATTTATAAAGAAACCAAGGTAGAGGAATCCACTTAGATTAGAGTATTTGAAATTCGAATACGGATCTTTTTAAAACGCGGGAGATTTGACACTAACTTCGCAACGGGAATACAAATGCACTCTCGATTTTACGCGAAAGGGAGATTTGAAATTCGAATTCGGTGGTTGGTAAACGACTATTTTATTAATTGAATTTTTTTCATTTATTTGTCTCTTTTTTTTTTTTAAGGAAATTTAGACGTGGGGAGGATTTGAAATTCGAATTCGATTAAACGCGGGAGATTTGAAATCGAATTTCGATTTAAACGCGGGAAGATTTGGAAAAATTCGTAATTCGATTTTTACCGCGGAGAGAGATTTGAAAATTCTGGAATTTTCTCTCCAGGTAGAGGGAAACATCAAAAAAGAAAATGTAGAAGGAAGAAGTAAACGTAAACACAGTTGAATATAAATAAACAAAACACGAAAAACAGCGATTAAACAAAGCGACCGTTGAAAGTGCTCCATAAAACTCCAAAAAGACCACAACAGACTCACGGCGTGGGGGGGAAAACCAACACTAATTATAGCACCCAGTGTGTTGTTGAAAAAGCCCATAAGAAAAAACCCCAAAGCCAAGAGGGCGGCAGTGCGGGGGAGGCGGGGTGTGGGGCGTGGGACGATGGCGCGCGGTCAATACTGTTCATCGCCGTCTCTAAAATAACTCAGACTTCCTGCCTAAATATAAATAGTAAAATTCGCCCTTCCATTAACATAGATAGACTGAGTGCCGGTTCCCCTCCTCTTCCTTCCGCTGTAAATGTGAAGTTGGCATAACTTGCATAGAATCGAGGCATGACTGCGCAGTCGTGTGAGTGGGATCTGCTGTGGATGGCATCAGACTCACCGTGCGCTTCAGTGACTCCACCAACCAATCCTGGTGGAGGCAATCAGTCCATCTACACGCTTGAAGGAAGGAGTGACCGTCACAAGGATTGTCTGATATGACTTTTAGGTTATATTTTTTTTTCGTTTTAGCCCTTTAATATTCCTATCGGTGAATAAAGCATTTATAGTTTTATTGCAATTTTGGATCTGGAGCGATAATAGAGACAAGTAGGATAGTGATGAAGTAACACGCAGAGGAGGGTATCTGGTGCTGGGGACGGAGGTAATCTCCTAACTATGAAAATAAAAGCACACTAGTCATATATAGAGTATATATATTGATAGTAAAAGCACCATCCTTAGACCGCGTGAGAATACTCTAACATAGCCTCTTCCTAAACCTCTCATCCCTCTCGTTATATTCACCTAACTAATCCTGCAACACACTGTGCTAAAATAAGCGAGCGCGAGACCTCATGTGGTCCTCCCGCACGAAAGAATAACAAAATCGTGATCTCTTTCCACCTCCACTACGTCCTCCAGCACAATTCAATTAAAGAGAATATCTACAAGAACCAAGGCTAAGTCCCGCACTATTAAGCTTCCTACTCATCGCTCCCGGAACCGGCTGCCCCGTTCTAAACATCCGTAAGCAAAAATCGCGATTATTTTTTCCAGGGTTAACCTATCGCCCACACAGCGGAACGCCCACACCCCCATTATCCCCCAACCCTAATCTCTCCACCTCCTCCAACCCACAAATGTATTAATTTGTAATCTTTCTACCTCTTTTTCTTTCTTCCCTTATCTATTTTTTATAATATTCTTACCTATATTAGGCCTATATAATAGGGAATTAAATTAAATAAATGAAAAAAATAGGGAATTAAATAAAAATTAATTTTAAAATATCAAGGGAATTAAATAAAATATTAAAATATCAGGGAATTGGGAATGATAATTAATAAGAAAATAAGGGAATTAAATATTAATGAAAAAAAAAAGTTGGAAATCAAAGTTGTATTAGTATAAAAAAAACTTAGTAATCAGTAACATTACATAAAAAATAAACTTTCTCTTAAAACAGGAAAATAATTACCACATGCACCAAGTCACGTGGCAGAGATCACCTAAAAAAAAAAAAAAAAAAAAAAATCCTCATGGAAAATGTACAACGAATAGTACAAAAAAAAAAGACAAAAAATAAAATAAAAATTCTTAGAAAAAAAAAAAAACGATATCCTTTGATACGCAAGCTTAAATAAATACTAATGTACACGTAAAAAAAAAGAAAAGAAAAGAAAAAAAATCAGTACTTTTTCCCCGTCTGTTCTAAGATCTCAGGGTAAGAAGGATACAAGAAAACAAAGAAAACAAAGAAAATAAAGACGAAACAAAGATCAAGTCAGCTGATCCGACACTTTGAGAACTAAGAAGAAGATTCTTTGTCAGAAAATCCGTGTGAAGGGAAGAAGTCAGCGGTGGTCACGTGACTAGGGCGGGTGTTGAACGCAGGGAGAAAGACGGAGATGAGAAGAGAGGAAGGGAAGAGAGATAAGAAGGTCGGTTTGTGTTATTGAGGGTAAACGAGGGAGGGAGGAGAGGAGGAGAGGAGGGGGGAAGGGGAGAGGGGAGAAGGGGAAGGGGAGGGAGGGAGGAGGGAGGAGGAGGGAGGGAGGGAGGGGGAGAGGGGGAGGAGAGAGGGGAGAGAGGGAGTAGAGAGAGGGAGGGAGGAAGGAGGAGTAGGGCAGAGAGAGGGAAGGGGGAGGTAGGATAGTGAGAGGGAAAGAGAGAGAGAAGAGGAGACGGGGGAGAAAGTACAGAGGGAGGGGGAAAAGAGAAGACAAGAGAAAAAAAAGATAAAGAGACGAGGCACAGAGAAAGACTGCCAGAGAGAAAAAAAAGAAAGAAAAAAAAAAGGTAGGACAAAAGGACAAGATGAGAAACACATTCCTCGAGGCAGGCTCCAAAAAGTCACAGAAAACGGGAACGAAGTAAACCAAAGAAAACGGAGGCGAAGGAAAAATCTCCCGCGGTCCCTTCCCCTTAAAAAAAAAGATCGTATTCCTGCTACTAGATCCTATATCCTAGCTCCTGAATCCTATTCGCGAGAGAAAAACAACACCTTCTGCTGAATTCCGCTCCTTTTACTGGCGCACAAAGGATATTTTGAGACGGTAAGGGTAAGAGATTTAGAAGCAAAATTCTTTAGCGCAAAGCCCGCGAAAATTAGTAACGGCCAAAGATGCAAAATATTTTTTAAAAACGCTGAACAGTCCAGCAAGAAAATTCCAGAATGTTTGTTTTTTTCTCCTATTTTCTTGTATTTTCTAAATTTATCTGAATGTCATACACAGAACTCAAAGGCAAAAACAGTGGTGTCTTAACGATATATATTTTTTAAAATGTTTACCTGAACAAAGTTTACTGAAAAAAAAAGGCAAAGGGAAAAATATTTAGAACGAATCTTGAAATGGCTTCTGGGGAAATGTCTTGAAGAAACTGGTGTGTGTGTGTGTGTGTGTGTGTGTGTGTGTGTGTGTGTGTGTGTGTGTGTGTGTGTGTGTGTGTGTGTGTGTGTGTGTGTGTGTGTGTGTGTGTGTGTGTGTGTGTGTGTGTGTGTGTGTGTGCGTATTGGGAGAGAGAGAGTTAAGAGACAACGAGAAAAAGAGAAAGAAATGGAAAAAAAAAAAAGAAATAGGCAAAGAAAGAGAAATAATGAAACGGAGAAACAGAGAACGAGAAAGAAATAGAGAAAAAATAGAGAGGGGGAGAGATTGTCATGACAGTGCCTAAAAATAACCTTCTTGAGCGCCAACGATCTCCCCCCCCCTCTCTCTCAGAGAGAGAGAGAGAGAGAAGAGAGAGAGAGAGAGAGAGAGAGAGAGAGAGAGAGAAGAGAGAGAGAGAGAGAGAGAGAGAGAGAGAGAGAGAGAGAGAGAGAGAGAGAGAGAGAGAGAGAGAGAGAGAAGAGAGAGAGAGAGAGAGAGAGAGAGCAAGAAAGAGAGAGAGAGAGAGAGAGAGAGAGAGAGAGAGAGAGAGAGAGAGAGAGAGAGAGAGAGAGAGAGAGAGAGGAGAGAGAGAGAGAGAGAGGTGAAAGCGAGAGAGAGAGAGAGAAGAATGTACATGACAAGAGCAAACTACCTAAGCCCTCAGGAACACACTCTCAGCACGAACATCTATATACGATTGTGCATAAAAAATGTACAAAAATATACTAAAACGATGATTTACACGAAGAAATGAAAGGAAGAGGAGGAAGAAGAAGAGAAGGAAGAAGAAAGAAGAAGAGGAGAAGGAAGAGAAGGAGAAGAAGGAGGAGGAAGGATGAGGGAGGGGAGAGAGGAGGAAGAGAGAAAGGAGGAAGAAGGAGGAGAAGAAGGAAGGGAAGGAGGGGAGGAAGGAAGGAAGGAAGGAGGAAGAGAAGGGAGAGGAGTGGGAGAAAAAGGAGGAGGATGAAGAGGAGGGAAAGAAGAAGTAGGGAGAAGATGAACCTGGAAGCATTTGGGTATAAATACAGGCTAATCACCAAACCTTGAATATATGAACCATAGAAAACGGATTTCAAGGGAAACTCCCCTAACTAAAACGCATTAATTAAAAAGAAAACCAAAATCAAATAAGCAATAAATAAACAAGACAACAAACCGGAACACATTACGAAGATTATAATACACAATTTCCTTAAAATTCCCACCCCGACCTTCTAAAATTTGGGAAAGAAAGATCGGTAATTCGTGATAAAAAAAAAAAAAAAAAAAATACGCCATAGTTTTTTTTTTTCTTTCTTTCTTTCTTTAAGTACAAATAAAAACATTAATGCCACCGGTTTTACTAAGAATAAAAATAAAACGCCTTGTGATAACTCCTGTCAGCCGCTTGCGATAAGAGAAGAGCTTTTGGAGATTTTGACACTATTCAAGTGCTGATAAGAAGTGTTGTGAGTCTTAACACTGAAGAAGGGAATGGTGTTAAT